AGTGGAAGCTGAGAGAAAAGAACAATCTAATGCTTTGGAAATAGAAACAACAGGAGTTGTGATCAGAATAAATACAGAAGTACAGGGGGGGAAGGGCCAGCAACGACTCGCTGGCAATGCTGCCACCATCTCTCTCCTTTCCTGGCAGATGAGCGAGAGTTAGAAGAAACAGAAATGGGCCTTCCAGTCTCAGCCTTGTCCCAGTGATTTGTATCAAGCTAAGACTCCCACCAAAATTAACTGCAGTAAAACAACTGTTTGCGAGTCACCCACACAGCAGGACCTGAGGGGTGACAGAAGAGAAGAGAGAGAGAGGTGAGGTGAGCTATTTACTCTGGCTGTTTCCATGTTTTTCTTCTATAGTAACATTCATGGTGGTGGGTAAGTAATAAATAGTCCAAAATACTGTGTTAGCTCTTTAAATGAAACAATAAAGCATTAGTACAAACACTTAATTCATTATTTAATCAGTGATCAAAATTATATAATCAGTTGCATGAAGAAACAAAGAGTTAAATATTTTTTTTCCCTAGGAATAAGTAAGTTTATTCATTTAACGGGCTTCCCAAGTTCTTTGCCACTTATTTTGATGCCTGGCAAATGAATTTTAGGCTGAATATATGACACACTACCATTGTATTGTATGTACTATATGAACACATTATTGTGCACAAGGGTTCCTGTATAATCAGTGTAACAGCACATTTATATCCATGCTATGGGATTCAAGGCATAATTTAACTATTTTAAATTGCTGCATAGTTTACTTGTTAAGTCCTCATTTATAAAGGTAATATCCAATTACAACATTGTTCCTATAGAGAAAAAATGTTCTATCTCATGACTATCAACCTGATGTAGTTTCTCAGCACTGTGTTGAAAAGCAAGGACAGCCTCTATTTTGTGCTACATTTTTATCTGAACTACGAAAAATGTTTAGGGTGTCATTTAAATATGTGTTTAAATAAGCATTTTATATAAATAATCTAATATCCCAAACAACAATTTTTCAGTCCA